ATTTGGTTAAATGTAATTTAACTAAGTTAACCACCACGAGCTTAGCGGTCAAGCGGTTCACAAGCGTAGCGGTCAAGCAATTCACAAGCATAGCGGTCAAGCGGTTCACAAGCTTAGCAGTTGAGCGGTCCACAAGTTAAGCGGTCTAGCGGTCCACAAGCTTAGCGGTCAAGCGGTCTACAAGCTTAGCGGTCAAGCGGCCCACGAGCGTAGCGGGCATCCAGCGGTCAATCCCATAAGTGCAGGCTCACATGGTGTGTGGTAGCTTTGTACATGGCTAGGATCTGCGAGTTGTTCATCGAGCGTTTGTGCAGTGGTCTGTGGAGCGGTTCATTTAGCGTCTTTCGCCTTTTTTAGCGATCTTTGGAGCGTCAGTCTTACAGTGTGCTTTTTCTTGTATCCTTTTTTCTTTCATTTATTTTTCAAAGCGTGCGGGTCGTCACGTTCGTTCAGGATGCGTACCACGAACAACAGCCTGTCAACGATGTCTTCCCCGGTTACCGCGTCTTCGCCTTCTTCCAGCGGTTCTACCCCAGCTCCTACAGTTAACACCTCGGCTTCTCCGCCAAGTCAACCTTTCCCTGCCGGACACCAACGCGCTAGCCCAGGCAATTTCAAGAGCTCTCGCGGAATCGCTCCCTCCGCTGCTATCTTCCCTTCGAGATTCCAGTGGCGGGAACTCGAACACGGCCGCGGCGTCTGTTCCTCTCTCCTCGACTTCGACTTCTACGCAGTCTCCGGCATCCTCTAGCTCCAGTACCCCTGGCTCTACCTCCCAGTCTTCAGGTACGCTTGTTGTGCCCTCATTTATTTCAACGTACAGCTCATCTGGCGGTCCTTCGGTAGTCTCCTCTCTTCCCGCCACGTCCTCCGCCAACTTGCCTGTAGTGGTTGGGGGCTCTTGTGGTGGCGCGACCGGAACCGAGTCCTCTACGCTTCCAAACCTCAATAAAGCATTTGTGGTGGGCCCTGGCTATGCTCCAGTCCCCTTTAAGCTTGTTTCTAAAATTACCGCAGGGCTTTTTGTAGACTTGGCTGACCTCCTTCCGGACAACATCAGAGCTCAAGAAATCGAACCCCAAGCGTTTTTGAGGGAAAACTGGTGGTATCAGGGTCGAAGAAACGGGTAATTGAAATAGCAGACATCATCACCTGGATTGAAGCCTTCACAATCTTTTCTATGATTCTTTGCCACACCTTCCCTCTCGCTGGAAAGATTTAAATCAGTACAAGTTACTCATCATCCAGACAGCAAGGCGTTTTTCTGACAAATCGTGGCTCCACTACGACATCGCCTTCCGAAAAAGAAGCCGCAGCCTCAGGTTCAACCGACTGGTCTCGCATGCACCCAGACCTCTACAACTTTCACACCAGATCTCCAGTGACCACCTCAACTGCTTCAGGCTCTTCAACTTCCTCTGCCTTGTCACTATCAGAGCCTCTTGGGTCTTCAGGCAATCCCCGGTCTAGCCAGTATTGCCACTCCTGAACGACGGGCGCTGTCGCTGGCCCTTTGGTCGCTGTCGGTTTCGTCACTCCTGTGAATCGTGCCACGGGGACCATCCCCGCATCCACTGCCCTCACCGGTCCGCGCGGAGAGAACGGTCCCGCTCCCCTTCTCAGTCAAAGGGGGGTCTCCGCCGTCGCTAGGCAACCTCTAGCCAATTCAACTGTAAATAGTTTTGTTCCTGTTCACGTTGGTTCTCATGGTAATTTTTCAGCGTTAGAGTTGCGTTCTCCTTTTGTGTTACCTTCTCAGCAGCAGGGTCTGCCAAGTTCCAGTTCTTCGTTGTGTTCTCCAGCTGTTTGTCCTTTAAGACCAGTTTCTCAGCTTACTCCCATCAATGTGGATAGATTCCAGCATGAACTCTGTCATCATCCTAACCCAGACAAAGTTGCATATGTGGTCCAAGGCCTTCGCGATGGTTTTCACCTAGGTTTCAATTACAGCACTTCCCTGAAGTCGGCAACAGGGAATATGGCTTCAGCACTCCTGAACCCTCAGGTCATTGACAATTACTTGCAGTCGGAAGTTCAGTCAGGCAGGGTGGCGGGCCCCTTCTCCCAGCCTCCCCTCCCTGTCCTCCACGTGAGTCGTTTCGGCGTCATCCCCAAACGCCACCAACCTGGCAAATGGCGTCTTATCCTGGACCTGTCTAGCCCTGCGGGGCACAGTGTCAACGACGGAATTGCGGGCGAGGATTATTCTCTGCAGTACATGAAGGTAGATGACATTATTGCAGGCATAATGCGGTTGGGGCGGGGCTCCCTCATGGCGAAATTTGACGTGCAAAATGCATACCGTATTGTGCCAGTCCATACAGAAGATCGCCAGTTGCTGGGTATGAAATGGCGTGGTGCCTTTTATGTTGATATGGTCCTGCCTTTTGGTGTCAGGTCAGCTCCATATATCTTCACATGTATAGCAGACTTAGTGGAGTGGGTGGCCAAGCAAAACTACGATGTCACCTTCCTGATGCATTACCTTGATGACTTCCACACTCTCGGCCCTCCCGGCTCCTCTGTTTGTCAACATAATCTGGACAGGTCAATTGACTGTTTTTCTAAGCTTGGCATCCCCCTCCATCCAGACAAACTAGAAGGGCCGTCGACGTGCCTAACCATCCTGGGCATTGAACTGGACTCTCTTAATCTGCTGGCACGCCTTCCTCAGGACAAATTTGATAGGATAACTGCCTTGTTGGAAGATTGGTCACAAAAGCGTTGGTGTAAACGCAAGGATCTGGAGTCCCTAATAGGTCACCTTCAGCATGCCTGCAAAGTCGTACCCCAAGGTCGCTCATTCTTGCGCCGAATGATTAACCTACTATGTGCCTTTCGACGCGATGACCACCCGATTCGTCTCAATCAAGAGTTCTTTCTTGACCTAGCCTGGTGGCAAGAGTTTTTCCAGTCTTGGAACGGTTGCAGCTTTCTTCAGTACCCCCAGTGGGCTCCAATTCCTGACTTCGAGGTTTCTTCAGATGCCTCTGGGGCTCTTGGTTATGGAGCAGTCTTCCAGGGTCACTGGTTTTCAGGTGCATGGCTCCCATCACAGGTCTCTCAGTCTATCGAGTACAAGGAACTTTTCCCTATCGTCGTGGCAGCTTACCTCTGCGGCCCCCAGTGGGCCTCCAAACGGGTCAACTTCCTATCAGATAACCGCTCAGTGGTGGACATTTTGCAGTCTGGCACTTCAAGAGCCCCTACCATCATGTCCTTGGTTCGCTATCTGTCCCTGTTGGCAGCTCGTCACTCCTTCTCCTTCACTGCCTCCCCAGTTAGAGGGAAGTCTAACCCCATTGCTGACTCCCTGTCTCGCTTTCAGTTTCAGCGTTTTCGCCGGCTAGCTCCTCTTGCAGACTCCATTCCAACCCAGATTCCACAGCAGCTCCTCTCGGACTTGGATCTTCGCTGTCAGATAAATACCACTTCTATTTGACTCAGGCTCTTGCCCCCTCCACTAGGAAAGTCTATGCTTCTGCCCAACGCCGCTTCTTGGATTTCTGTGCTCAGGACAATAGCCTATCTCCTTCGGGATCAGCTCTTCCAGCCAGTGAAGACGTGCTCATCCGTTTCTGCTGTCATCTTGCTGATACTCTTCACCATTCATCCATAAAGGTTTACCTTTCAGCAATTCGGTCCCTTCACATTGAGGAGGGTCATCCTTCTCCGCTGGTTGGTTGCCTTCGGTTACAGCGGGTGTTGCGGGGCATCAAACGTCACCAAGGCTCAAATAAGCGTCAGCGCCAACCCATCACAATCGAGCTGATGCACATTATCTTCCAGTCCTTGAACTTCTCTGACTACAACCATACAATGCTTTGGGCTGCCTGCTGTCTCGGGTTTTTTGGTTTCTTACGTGCTGGTGAGTTTACTGTCAACTCTCCCTTCAATCCTGACATCCACCTTGCTGTCAGTGATGTCCAAGCAGATTCCCTAGTCAATCCTAGCAGCTTCAGGATTCATATTAAGTGCTCTAAGACGGACCCCTTTCGCCAAGGTTGCCATATTTACATTGGTGCTGGTAAACGTGATCTCTGCCCTGTGCGCGCCCTTACCCAGTATCTACACGTCCGTGGCTCAACTCCTGGCCCACTCTTCCTTCTCTCTGATGGCACCCCTCTACATCGCCAATGGCTGACATCCAGTATTCAGTCTATCTTCTCCGCTGCTGGGGTCACTGGTTGCTACACCGGTCATAGCTTCCGCATTGGCGCTGCTACTTCAGCAGCCTCTCGTGGCTTACCAGATCACCTCATCAAGACACTTGGCAGATGGTCCAGCGATGCGTATCAGATCTATATTCACACTCCCGTCAGTACTATCGTGGGGTAGCAAGCCTTCTCACTTGACAGGTATTTTCTTGCGTATCTTTCTCTTTTCCTAGTTGTCCTTGTAGGGTGCCTCGGGACTTGGGTAGTTCGGGGCCAGGGCTTCCCCAGCCCTGAGCCCCTCTTTCCCTCTCCGATCTGGCTGCGTCAGCTCGGAGAGTCCCTTCGGCTTGGAATGGGGGCTCATGGCTGGGTTGCAGGGATTTGCCAGCCATGGGGGCAGTTTTTCTATCTAGGGGCTGGCTGGCCACAGTGGAAGCCCCTGGGTATCCCAGACACCCACCTTCCACTTAAGCGAGGCAGTTGGTTAAATTTGGTTAAATGTAATTTAACTAAGTTAACCACCACGAGCTTAGCGGTCAAGGTTTCAAGCGTAGCGGTCAAGCAATTCACAAGCATAGCGGTCAAGCGGTTCACAAGCTTAGCAGTTGAGCGGTCCACAAGTTAAGCGGTCTAGCGGTCCACAAGCTTAGCTGTCAAGCGGTCTACAAGCTTAGCGGTCAAGCGGCCCACGAGCGTAGCGGGCATCCAGCGGTCAATCCCATAAGTGCAGGCTCACATGGTGTGTGGTAGCTTTGTACATGGCTAGGATCTGCGAGTTGTTCATCGAGCGTTTGTGCAGTGGTCTGTGGAGCAGTTCATTTAGCGTCTTCCCCCCCTCCCATCCCTATTTTTCTTCCTTCCACTGTTTGATCAGTGTGACGGGTGCCTGGAATGGGGGCTCATGGCTGGGTTGCGGGGATTTGCCAGCCATGGGGGCAGTTTTTCTATCTAGGGGCTGGCTGGCCACAGTGGAAGCCCCTGGGTATCCCAGGCACCCACCTTCCACTTAAGCGAGGCAGTTGGTTAATGAAGCATATGAGGAGTCACATTAAATCTAATATAAAGTTAATAATATTTCTCGAAAGAAATAATAAAAGACTCGCAAACTAGAGCTCTTATAACAAATTCTTTAGACTGATGGAATCTTCCAGTGAGGAAGTTGATCTTAGACTTCCTGTTTTTCTCCTTATATTACACTGCCGGATATACACCTTGTGTGACCTTTAACAAGACTCGCACTTTGTGTGTGATTTGAAGTAAAATGGAATTTTTATTGTCGAATATGTATTGTCATATACCCTATCCCTGAGACTTTCTTGACGGTAGCCGGTTAGTGGAGACTCCTTAGGAAGAGCCACATTTCATGGAAAGGCTGGAATAAGTGTCGTTGATTATGCCATATGTGATCAAACGTTATTTTCACACATCCTAAACTTTATTGTTAAAGAGCCCACGTATTTATCGGATCATAGTCCACTGGTGACCTGGTTAAGTGCTGACACCGATATTCGTAATCAAGATACTTCACCAGAGAGTGATACTTTAACACGATGTGGGAAAGCGACTCTACACCACAATTCAAAGCAGCTCTTCAATCTCCAAATTTGCAAATGATAATTCAAGAATATTTAAGTGACTTCAATTCAGCTAAAAATGTTAACACTTCCGCGGAACAGGTATAAATATTCTTATCACAACGGCAAAACGGTACCTAAAGATAAGAACGACGAGACGACATAAGCGCACCTATTCACGCTCAAATAAATCAAAGAAAGACTATCGTCAACTCGTGGGTACGTTGTTTAGAAAATAATCAGTTAGTTATCACCTCTGGTTTTCCCACAGTAAATTTTAGGAAATGATAGAAATTCAGATTATCAATATACCATCCTTGTTCTGGAAACACAATACTTTTCTTGCTGTTTATTGCACTTTAGGTATATATTTAAAACCAAAAAAAAAACACAAAAAAAACCAGCAAAACAAATAAGCAAACAAAACAAAACAAAAAAGAAAAAAAAGAAGGAAGAAGGGAAAAAGAAGGTCTTAGCAGAATTTGAACCCGGTACCTTTGGGTTGACCCGACCTCACATAGCCACTACGCCATTGAGGATGATCACATGATTTGGTGAAAAGCTTCAAATTTAATGCCTTTTTCATGGAACTTCCGCCGGCAAACGATCGAGCCATACCTAACCGATTGAAAAAACAGGGGCACCCAACAAGGATATAGTTCAAAACCACTTAACATAGCATTGTTGAACGTATTTTAGTATTCAAACGGTAGATATAGGCATATTTTTATCCCCTAAAAACTTTTCATCTGTTCGGATTTCCTAGCTGAAAGTCTAGTGATCCGAAGATTATAGGGATAAAAACTTACCTTCTCGAAAATTTCAGCCAAGAAAAGGCTCCCGAAAATTCTAGGTGGCCTTTTTTAGGGTCAAAATCCGTTAAAAATGGGTAATTATACCATTTTGTAGATGTTCGAAAATCCTAGGAGAGGCAGGCAAGCAAGAAATTTTACAACAAATGCTCCGAAAATTCTAGATCTCAAATCGTCTTCC